GCCGTCGCGCTGCCCGGCAGGGTGCTGCGGGCAGGAGGCGGGAGGCCTGCAGGAAATGGGGGGAGGGGGCTGTGACCGCGTCCCCGTCACACGGGGGCTGTTCCCGGCTGTAGGGGGGGCTCCTCCTCCCCCCCGCACTCGGGGCCTGCTGGCTGCTCTCCCGGGGAAGCCACATGGTGCCGGGGCGGCGCAGGCCCGGCCCCGCACTGGGCGAGCGGGCCATGCGGTGCGGGCGGCGGCCCCCCCGGCCCGGCCCGGCGCGGCGCGGCCCCACGTTCCCTCCCGCCCCGGTACCTTGCTCGGGGGCTGGCGGCCCCCCGGTGGGGCCCAGGCCAGGCAGGTGCAGGAGGCGCTGAGGTGGGCGGAGGGCACGTACTCGTGCTGCAGGCGGCTGCTCGGTGTGTCCCACACTCGCAGGCGCCCGTCGGGGCCGCACAGCGCCAGGGAGCGGCGGCCGCGCGGGGAGAAGGCGCAAGGGGCCCGCGGGGCGTCCCCGCCACACGCTGCTCCGGCCGCCGCCATGGCGCTCTGGGCCCGGCCTCTGCTCCAGGCCAGCGGCGCCGCGGCCACGTGTTTCCGCCCCGCGCAGGCGCACTGGCCGGGGACGGGCTCCCCCTGCGCCGCTCCTCCCCTGCGCTGCACGGCGCGCGGTGGGGTGGGGAGGGCTGAGTGCAGGAGGAGAGGGAGTCTGGGGGCGGGAGGTGAGCGTGGCAGGAGAGGGAGTGGTGCGGGGGAGGCTGAGTGTGGCAGGAGAGGGGGTGTGATGTGTGTTCAAATAGTATTTTGAGGCTGGTGGGGGGAGGGTTATGAGAGTATCAAGGGTGAAAGATGGTGTCCTGGGGGCTGAATATGTGACAGCTTGGGGAGATACTTTCTGTGTGCTGGGTTTTTGTTTTTTGTTTTTTTTTGGGGGGGGGGTGTCAAGAGATGTATAACAAGCTTTTTTAAAAAAGGTTTTTTAAGGCTTCTAATTTTGCAGGCCTGTCAAATGTAGGATATAATGTGACTGTACCAAGCAATGCCTGGGACATCATTGTTGCATATTAATTTTATTAAGATTCATCTCGTTGTTAGATACTGGGAACGAGTAAATACTGCAGAAACATCTGCTTTCTCTCTGCCAGAACTGATCAAAGGATTCATAGATTCCAAGGCCAGAAGGTATCCGTGTGATCATCTAGTGCAGGGATCGGCAGCCTTTGGCATGCGGCCCGCCAGAGAAAGCCCCTGGCGGGCCAGGCCGGTTTGTTTGGCCGATCGTGGCTCCCACTGGCATCCCAGGCCAATGGGGGCTGTGGGAAGGGCAGCCAGCACATCCCTCGACCCGCACCGCTTCCCGCAGCCCCCATCGGCCTGGAACGGTGAACCGCAGCCAGTGGGACCTGTGATTAGCCAAAACTGCAGATGCTGCAGGTAAACAAACCGGCTGGCCTGGCAGCACACTTGGGGCTTTTCCTGGTGGGCCACATGCCAAAGGTTGCCAATCCCTGATCTAGTGCGACTTCTTGTGTAACACAGGCCATAGAAAGTCTCCAAAGTAATTCTTAGAGCGGAGCTTTTAGAAAAACATCCAATCTTGAGCCAAGTATTAAATATTTGTTCCTAGACATATACATTCCCATTTAGTTAAATCAAAACACATATTGTTTTCTTGCACATAGCTTACCAAACAATCCAGTGACCTGTCCTCTTCGTTATTTAACACTCCCCCAACTTTTGTGTCATCACCAAACTTTCGGTGATGTTTTTATGTTTTCGTTCAGGTCATTAGTAAAAATGTTAAATAGCATAAGGCAAAGAACTGGTCCCTGTGGGAGCCCACTAGAAACACACCTGTCTATGATGTTTCCCTGTTTTTAATTACATTTTGAGACCAATCTGCCATTTTTTAATCCATTTAATGTGTGCCATGCTAATTTTATATTGTTCTAGTTTTTTAATCAAAATGTCATGCAGTACTAAGTCAAATGCCTTACAGAAGTTGAGAGAGACAAAGTCTTTTATTTTGGATCAACTTATGTTGGTGGAAGGTACAAAGCTTTCGAGCTTCAGGTCTGGGGAAGGTACAGAAGTCTAAGTATATTACATCAACAGCAAACTTGTAATCTTATCAAAAAAAGATACCAAGTTAGTTTGACAGGATCTGTTTTCCATAAACCCATGTAGATTGGCATTAATTATATTACTCTCCTGCATTAATTGAGTTCTGTATTAGCTGCTCCATTATCCTGTGGGAGTGATAGGAAATAGAAAGTACAGCCTGGATATCAGAAAAAAAGTCTTGGGCAGTGGGGTCTATTAAAATGCAACGTAGTTTCCCATGGGTAGTGGTGGAAGTCCCGGTGGTTAAGATATTTTAAGCAAGAATGGAAAAAGCACTAGAAAGTGTAATCTAGAGATCAATCCTTTACTTACAGGGAGGCAGACTAGATGATTTGAGTGATTTTTCTTCTGTAATTTCTATAATTAGCTTATTTCCCCTGATTATTAGGGCAGTGCATTGCAAATTGTTGTATCAGGCCAGGTCTACATATAAACAGGGGTGTGAAAAGGTGTGATTCCTGACCAACATAGCTGTGCTGGCAGAAGCCTCCTAATGTAGACACAGTTATAACTGTAAAACTATGCTTTTGCTAGTCTAATTTATTTCACCTGGTGTTGTTTTGGAGGGGGTGGGGGGAATGCATAGTGGTGGTGCTAGAATAAACTATGCTTGCAAAAGTACAATGCTGCTGATTCAAGCTGAAAACACACTAGGAGCACTTCGCTCGTACAGTTAAGCTTTCCAAATGTAAACCTGATTAATTTTCATTTATGATTATCATAATTCAGTACACTGTAAATAATTATTTTTTAGAAGTACATTTCAGATGCATCACCAGATTTTCAGGATGCATATTAAATATATACATAGTCCTTTCTATACTGTACCCATTACATATCTTCTATATTCCCCTTGTGGCACATACAGTCAGAAGAAGCATAAGAGAAGTACTTCCTTGCAAATGTAAATTTTTTCATACCCTCTCATTTAATAATTCTTGTCTACTTCCTTTAACTTAGGGAAAATTAATACGATGAAAAAAATGAAAATATTGCTAATGACTAATGTGTCTCTATCATAAATAGTTTTCCACAGAAGAGGGGAGCAGGAAAAGCCCAGAAACCTGTTCTGAATGTAAACATATTTATAGTCTGTAAGTATAAATGTATAATGACTTATGTTCAGCATTAAAAGCATGCATATCTCACAGCCAGAAGATCTTCAAGAGCTGTTAACATGATTATCTGTTTGATTTACAGCAATGGAAATATGGTAGTCACTTTACAGAAACATGAGAAAAGACAACCAGTAACATTTTCAAAAGTGCCTTTAAAAACAGGACTTGGGCTCATAAGTCACATAGGTGCTTTTGAAAATTTTACTCAAGGTCTGTGTCCCATAGGGATGATGGCAAGGGATGAGAAAGTACATAATAGTTTACAGTAACAATATAAGAATTCACTCTGGGCCTGTGTACATCTTATGATTCTGATGCAAATAATGAAGCTTTGAATTTTTTTCCTCAGTGAAGTAACTGATTTCTAAACAACACAGCAGAAATTAATTTTATGGAAGGATTTAGAGGATGGGAGGAGGAGGGAGGATGGATTGTTAAACGAGTTTCTCTTAGTTTTAGGTTTTCAGCTATTGTTTTTTGAAATAGACACATGCCATCAGTGGATTCCCATTGTCTTCCCTCTTTTAGGCTCTAGTCCTGCAGTGAGCTCCCTGTGGTCCCACGGTCCATCCACACTGAGCTCATTGCAGATGGGGGCCTTATAATTCATTCTGAAAAATAAAGACAATGTTCCAGCATAAACAAAAACCTTAAATCTTCAGAAAACGTAGTCAATCCCTGACTTCCGGCCTAGTGATTTTGCAGTTGTTCCTTCTTCACCATTATGCATTGTAAATGAAAACAAGCTTCTAGACAAAGTTATATTCAAATTTACAACATATTGTAATTTTCTTTTGATTGTATGTTTTTGAAAAATATTAAATTGCAGCAGCATATCTGCCTTACCTATGTTTTGTGCCAAACTGTTTTGCTAAAATAAACTTAAATTACAGTATAATTTGTTTAAATCAAAATGTTATGTTTCATGTTTTTGTCTGGCTGAACAAGAAGCCAGATTTTAACTATATTCATTCAAATTAGTTGTTACTTCCAAAGTATGTTTTTTGTTTTCTTGTTTTGGGGGGGGGAAGGGGTGTGTGGCAGCAACTATAAGAGGGTAAAATAAATAATAATCTTAGCATTCATATAGCAATTTTTTATCAAAATACTTTAACTGGATTTTTATTAATGTTTGTAATCTTCAGGACAGATTTGAGAGTCAGTTATTCCCCCTTTTTATAGATGGGAATGTTTATGGGATTGTATTTCAAATCCTTCCAAATCTCGTTTACTTAAGAACATAAGAACTGACATACTGGGTCAGACCAAAGGTCCATCTAGCCCAGTGTCCTATCTTCAGACAAAAAGAAAAGGAGTACTTGTGGCACCTTAGAGACTAACACATTTATTTGAGCATAAACTTTCGTGAACTACAGCTCACTTCATCGGATGCGCATCCAATGAAGTGGGCTGTAGCTCAGGAAAGCTTATGCTCAAATAAATGTGTTAGTCTCTAAGGTGCCACAAGTCCTCCTTTTCTTTTTGCGGATACAGACTAACACAGCTACTACTCTGAAACCTGAGTCTTCAGACAGTGGCCAATGCCAGGTGCCCCAGAGGGAATGAACAGAACAGGTAATCCTCAGGTGATCCGCTCCTTGTCGCCCACTTGTTCCTACTTGGAAGGAACCATCTTTGCAGTCTGTATCCATTTTAAAGCAGTTTTAAAATCTTTCCCCTACATGGTTAAAGGTTTTCATGGGTCATTTTCAAAAGCTCACGCTATTAGGGTGAGGGGGTCCAAGGAACACAGGGCTGTCTGTGAACAGAACAGCAGCTGCTGGACCCCAATCCGATCGGCGCTGCCTGGGCCATGTGGGCAAACACGTGGATCCGGACGGTCGCAGGCTTAATACAGACGTGAGTCGCTCTGTTGGCTCTCGTGGTTCCTGCAGGGGGAAGGCAAAGGCGAGTCCGCCTGCGCGGGAGCCCAGCCCCGGGCGGCCAGCCAGCAGGACAGGCTGGGCCGGCAAGCAGCGCCCGGGCCTCTCCCGGCCGCGGCAGCTTTGTGTGCAGCGCCCCCGGCGCCGTGCGGAGGGCGCAGCCATGCTGCAGTGTGCCAGGCGGCGGCTGAGCCTGCAAGTGCTGGGAAGGGAGAGTCGGGCGCAGCAGCCCGCGCGTGCGGGCCCGGAGAAGACCGCGCTGGTGCCGCAGGGCGGGAGGAGGCGGGCGCTGCTGGGCAGGGGAGGGTTTGTGCCTTGCAGGTGTGGGGCTAGCGATCGCGCCGGGGCAGGGGGTGCGCCGCCCCTGCCTTCGGCCCATCGCCCCCGGGCGGTCAGAGCGCTGTGTTCCGGCTCGCCCCGGCAGGGAGATGGGGCCGAGTCGGAAGAGCAGGTCGCTGCCGCCGTGTCGCGGGTCGCGGACTCCCCCCCGGCGGCTGCCTCGCCGGCGGACCCGGGTCAGGTGCTGAGGAGCCGGAGGAGGCGAGCTTGGGAAAGGGCCCTGTCTCCCCTGGAAAGAGTGAGCCGACTGCTGCCGGAGGAGTTGCTCTCGGAAGAGATCCGGGACATACGGCGCGCAGACCAGGGGGAATCGAGGCAGGAGGACGGCAGTGAAAACAGCGACTCTCACCCGCTCCAGCGGCCGGCTGCCCGTAGGGCTCCCCCAGCACAGCCGCAGAGGGATGAAGACAATACGCCTGTTGACACCCATAACACGGCGGCGAAAGATGGGACTTTCCAAGTCGGGGACTTGATCTTAGCAGAGTTTCGCAGAAAAACCTACACGGAGTTTAAACATATGCGTAACCTGACAGCTGTCGGGAAATTGAATAGCAATTGGGGAGCTATTAGCCACCTGGATATCATAGGCAAGCTACCGGGCCAAATGTTTAGGACTTCTAGTGGGTTTCAGTTCCTGATCAGGAGACCAGCCTTAGAAGATTTTGTGCTGTTGATGAAGAGAGGACCTACTATTTCATATCCAAAGGTAAGTCACGGTTGCGTGGGTTGTCAGTTGTTGCAATGGATGTTTCCACAACTGAACAATTTTAACTTAAAAACCGGTTTAAACAGCAGCCGGTGGTGATTATTGGTTTTAAAAAGGCAGGACCGCCCCCGGTTCACCCAGCTACAAGATGGGTGCCCGAGCCATTGGGTTAAGGTGGTGAAGGGTCCGATGAGCCATGGGTTTAGGGAACTTTGATTAGGGTACAGTTCCAGGCTCTGGAGATGTTTTGGATGTCTGTTAAGCAGCCCTTCACATATAAAAGTGAGGGTAGTCCTAATTGAAAACCTTGTTAGAGATGCAGTCTCTAAGGGAGAGTCTTCTGATGTTAATTTGCATATACAAGCATTTTCAGTTTAGGGAAACAGCAATACAATTTAGACAGCTTCCTCACTACTAAAAAGTCAGTGTTTTACAGTGGGATATTTTAGCTTTCACAATCATGATTTGCCTCTTGTGTTTTAATATATTAAGGAATCCTGTCATTCCTGTATTAGTGAATTACTTCTTCCTATTAATATTTGCTCTGTTGATCTGAATAGCTGCAGGAGCTTCAGGTGGTTTATGCGATTGCATAGTGATTTTCAGAGACACCACATACTCACACCTCCTATTGATTTCAATGGAACCTAAGAGTACTCGGCACCACTGAAAATCAGGCCATCCATTTAAGCAGTATTCCAACATATTACTGTTTGAATATACAGTATAGAAAGTATTGGTTTTTTACTTCTCTTTTAACCCTTAGGATATTAATGCAATGCTGATGATGATGGATATCAACCAAGGAGACACTGTGGTGGAAACTGGTACTGGGTCTGGTGGTATGAGCTTGTTTCTATCAAGAGCAGGTAATTTAGATTTAACAAATTTAGGAGTTTATTTGAGAAGGAACACAGATAATACTAGTATAACAAGTGTTCCTTTTCCATTAATAAAAGAAACTTGAAGTCACTCTCTATGTCCACTTTCAGGATTTGCTGTGACTTTTCAGATTTATATATACTGTTTACCTAGAGTGAAATTTAGCACTGTGCAGAGGGCCAGCACATAGCCTATAAGCCATTTAAGCTGCATTTTGATGTCATGAGGTGTACAGGCCTTGTGCTGATGCTTATATGGGGCTGAATTTCACTCCATGTTTTTATCATTGCTTCATTGGTATCCTTGTATTGCCTTTCTAGCCTCTTTCTTGCTATTCTTGGGTTACTCTTTCCTCACTCCTCTTTGATTGTGTGTAGGTAAGTAGACGGCATCGCTGAAGTCGTGATCGTAGGGGAGGAGTAGCTCTGCTATTAAGGTTAAGGCTTGCTTAGGCCACGTCTACACTGCAGTGGTACAGCTATTGCACTGCAGCCATGGTGCTGTAGCATAGATGCTTCCTGCATTGATGAGAAGGGGTTTTTCCATCGATGTAGTTAATCTACCTCTTCGAGAGGCACTAGCTAGGTCCATGGAAGAATTCCTCCATCAACCTAGCTGCATCAACAGTGGGGGTTAGGTTGACCGAACTATGTCATGCAGGGCAGGACCATGAAGCCAAAATGGCAGTGGTGGGGCCAGGATGATATGGGAAGAACTAGTTGCCACGTTGCGAATGGCATCAGAGCCAGCACAAGAGTCCCAGCCAGAACAGATCATTTATTTTCTGGGATAGGCTTGATGAATTCTCCTGCATTAGAAATGATAAACCGAGTCTGCGCCAGGCACTGAGGACAGGTATGCGGGGTACAGAAACTCACTGAGATCAGGGTGAGGCATAGTCAGTGCATGGCATGGTACACAATACTGAGACTGTACTGGGGAGCTGAGAACAGGAATGCTTGGTGCTTACAATGCTGAGGCCAGGGCGAGGAGCTGAGAACCAGCAAGCTTGACAGAGGCCCACAGGAGCTGCCAGATAAGGAGGGCAGGATAAGAACAAGCTTTGAGAGGAATGGACCAATAAACACCTATTGTTTCAGGCTGTATCATCTCCACCATGGGGTGTTCTCATTCAGCTGAGAACATTTCTTGAATGGGCTACTTCACAACTCCATGAGCTTCCTCTGAGGAAGAGGGAAATGTAGAACCTCTTCCCTATACACTGGACCCAGATGTAAGGTACAGATTCTGGACCTCCACTCTCTTCCCACTTCTGTCTGCATTCCTCACAACTTTCTGTCCTCCCTTTGGCCTCAAAATTTACCAGGGGCATGTAGGTTTTTTTTCTACAATTTCAATGAATAAGGGATCATCTTCAAAGTGGTCTTTGCTCTTTGGGAACTCAGACACGCTGACAGAATAGAACCATAAGGGGGGAAGGTTGGGCACCTTTCCCGTCCAGTGACATATCTGGTAACGGCCAGAGAGTGGAACCATCGATGCTTTCCGCCCTTCCTGCCCCCTTCCCTACAAATATCCCCATATTCCTCCCAAATTCTTCTCTATGGCTGCTCCACCAGGCTGGGAGAAGGAGCTCCTTTACTCCCCATTCTTCACTTGAGGAAGGAACCTAGAACTCCCCACCTCCCCTCTTCTGCTTCCAGTAGTAGAAAATGGGCTCCCCAGGTTCCCCTTCCCCCACAATTGCTGCTGCTCCTATGGAAAAGGGGATGTCAGAGTTGTGCAGAGGAGTGGGGAGAGAAGGGGATCCAAGTTGTGCAATGTTGGCACAAGGCTTAAGTAGTCCACAGACACCTTGTGTTGACCTTCTGCACAGAGGTGAATTTCAGCAAGAGAGCCATGCTTCTGTTACTGTGAATGTAAAACCAACCCTGACTTAGACACACCTTCATTTCCAGTGCCTATGTTTATCTTTCCTGAACTCCTGTATCCGCTACAGAGCGAGTTAACTGAAGGACGAGTGTCTGGGTGAGGCTGCTGTTTCACTCCTGGAGACTTGCACTCTGATGTGGGTTACAAGTGAAAATTAGTGCATTGGGTTTCATTGTAGTCTCTCTTTGGCCACTGCTTTAATCTTGCCCCAATGTTAGGCATAACTGAGGCTATGCCCTGCAGTTGCTGTGGGCATAAACTAAAAGGTTCCTAGTTCTCATTAATGTTCTCTTGTCTGAAGAGGGCTACATTAATGTGCATTAGAAACCTTTTAGTTTGTGCCTGCAGCATCTGCCCTGGAGAGATACAGTGCATAACTTTATTGCAGCAGTGTAGACGAGCTCATACCATTGTTGGCAGCTTTAGCAGAGAGATCAGAGACCGAAAGGACCATAGATATTGAGTTCCTCTCTCTTCACTAGAGATGCTCTCTCCAGGTCAGGGTTGAGACAAATGGTTCTGCCAGCCTCTGCTGTACCTGTTCATAGAGTAGACAAATCTCTGCCTCCAAAATATTAATTTGGCACTTTTTACATGCACAGGATCTCTTAAATTTAAACCAAAATAAATTGTAGTTGACACTTTTATATAATTTGCTAGGGTGAGGAAAGGGAGACATTTTAGACTAACCCGTGCTGTTGTTTACTTTGATGTTTTTAACCTGTTAACTTGAATCAGGAAAAAAAAAATAGTAAATTTAGTGTGTTTTTCATTTGCTTTAAGTTGGGCCTCGAGGACGTGTTATAAGTTATGAAATCAGAAAAGATCACCATGCGGTAGCTAAGAAGAATTACAGGCGCTGGCGTGATGCATGGGAAATAGGACATGCAGAAGAGTGGCCAGATAACGTGGATTTCATTAATAAAGATATTTTAACAGCTGCTGAGGATATGAAATCTATAACATTCGATGCAGTAAGTCTTTAGTAGAAAACTCCCTACCTTAAAGAGATTGGCATCTGATATTTTTTTTCTGATTAAATAAAAAGCAATTTTCTTATCCTCTCCATTGAGGGATTTCCCACATCTAGCCTAAGCATAAAGAAACAGCCAAGCCTCCATTAGTGGGGATGGACAAATCCCATTGTCAGTAAGTGTCTTTGAAGGTCTGATGGTGCATCACGCTCAAAAGAAACACTGATCTGTCTATACATTTACTCCTGTCTTATAGGAGAAAGCACACTTTGTCAGTCTCCATTTGCAATAGTACAGTTGAGAGGGAAAATAGATTTTTCCACTGCTGAACTAGGCACATGCTTTGTATGTATTAAGTTCAAGAAAAATTGGAGACTTATTTGTACTTTTAATGTGTTGTTTAAAAAAAAAAAAAAAAAAACCCTTTTATATCACCTGTGCTCCTGAATGTTACTACAGTCTAAACTGAAGTAATGAAGGGTATTGTCAATTCCTCTGTCTTAAGGCTGTAACTTTTAATATTTTCATGCAAAGTATGTAAACAAAATACAGTTTTGGTTTTTATATCCTTATTCTTTTAAATTGATGTGTTTTACAAGAATTGTTTGAATGCATATTGTTCCAACATAAACAGTGGGAAGCTAGTTAATGCAGTATTTTATTATATCAGTCTTATTGGCTCAACATAAATCTTTAGATTAAACAAATGAAATTTTGTTGACAAGTTTATGTGCACAGATACAAAATGGCTAGCACCTAAAAATATAATCTGACTCAGAATCTTGGATATAACAGTTTTAGTCCACAAAATAGGTATTCTTACATACTCATTCTTTATTTGAAGTTTAAATAGGTTCTTGAAGAGGGGTTGTCAGAGAGTTTGCTGAGATAGAAGTCTCATGAGTTAAACATCTGAATTTTAATATTTAATAGTATGATTATTTCATTGCAAAATATGGTTTGAATATTAATTTTTTAAAGCAGATATGCAAAAATCAATTACATGCAATCTGTTTCAGGCATTAGTTTTTTTTATTTTGCCAGCATGATATAGCTTAACTGCTGGACGGTTTGACATTAACCCAAGACTACTGTATGTTAGTTAAATATGAATAGTTCATTTAGTAAAAACTACCAGATCTCATCAACACTTCATTTGGAATGCAGTAAAACTGAAAAATCTAAGAGAGTTCAGGGTTTTATTTATTTATTTATTTTTAAACACATGGATTTTAGGCCTGCATAATCTGTTCAGAGGCTGGAATAAAATTAATTTTCCATGAACTAATTCATTGTTTTCTGCTTTTGTTGACTTAGAGAAACTGATTTTTGTCTATTCAGTTTGGTTAATAATTATCTTGTTCTTCTATAGGTAGCTTTAGATATGCTTAACCCTCAGATTGCTTTGCCTGTTGTGTATCCAAATCTTAAGCAGGGTGGTGTATGTGCTGTATACCTAGCCAAGTAAGTATTAAAACCTGGCATTTATAAATTTGTTTGATACAGACATCAGATAACTGTAGTTTTAAGCATGTCTTTATGCATAATAGATTTTTAAATATAAAATGTTTATTTTTTGTAACAGTTTTCTATATTTGTTTTTCCTGTAATACTTTGAGATGCACTCAGTACAAGTCCTGCAGTCTTTACCTTAGGCAAAATTCCCATTCGGGTCAGGGAGAGTTTTACCTAAATAATGTCTGCAAGATAATTGCCCATGTTCTTCAATGCAGTTGCTGGGTTATACTAAAGCTGATGGCTTTGTGTTCACCAAGAAGTAAAGACCACAGTGCAGTGCACAGGTCCAGGACTAGCAGTTGTATAAAAGGATCTCAAAGAAAAATGTAACACTATCTCTCTTGCATTTCTCTGAAAGTATCACACAGGTTATTGATCTGTTGGAAGGAATACGGACCTGCAATCTCTCTCTTTTATGTGAAAGGATCATTGAGGTGACTCACAAAGATTGGTTGGTACTCCCTGCTAAGCGGAAGGATGGCAGATTAGCCCTAAGAGTGGAACCTCAACCAAAAGAAGGTGAAGAACTTCCTATTCAGGATCAAGCAGTAGTTGGAGAAAGTGACGATATTGGTAAGGAGCTACCCTGAATTAGATATGTATTGCACTAGGAGACTAATGTAAATTTCCCGCCCTTTGAAGAGAGATTCTCCCTCACCACATCTGTTTTGAACAAGACATAATTGAGAAGTCTGTCACCATTTCACATACCCATCCTCTCCCACTCCCAAATAATCTCCTTACATCACTTCAGAAGTACAAATATCATCCACGTTTATGAGCCAAAGTTATCAGCTTGTGATATATGCAAGCTCCATTGGTCCATACCAGCATCTGCTGGTTTTCTAACACCTTTCCAGAAGCATTGCTGTTGCATGATGCAAAAGTATTAGCCCGTGTTTAACAGACAGAGACTTGCTATTGGTGTGGTTGGCTTGCAGTATAACTTCTTTCTGTAGTCTGAAAGCTGCAAATCTCGGTCTCTATGCATGAAATATAAACAGACACTTTTTTGTTACTTTTATCGCATAAACATGAGGGTTTTTTGAGAGCTAAAATCTAATCCTGTAAAATACCATTTTCTGTTTTTCAGACACTTCCTGATCTACTCACCCCTAGCTCTTTTACTACTTCCTATGAAAATTACTAGGAGTAGTGAAGCTGAAAGTCTGGGTTGTGGAGAACAGGCTTAGCACCCAAGTCCTCTTCTCCTACAAATTAATTTTTTCTGGCTAAAATCAATATTTTTTGGGAAGCTCTTTCCTAAATTTTGATTGGCAGCTATATTAATGGTAAATATAAATGTAAACGAGATGGCCTTTTAATAAATCCAGTTGCAAATTAAATACATAAAAAATAAATTCTAATTGGCAGCTCTAGCATGCTAGTCAGTGAAACTTTTTAAACTTGAATTCAGGAACTATTGTCTTAGGGTCCCATATTCAGACTATTGCTGCTTTTTGATTATGGTGTGTTTTTAGGACTGTGTATATCAGACATTAACCAAAACAGGATACTATTTCTGCAAGCTGCAGCTCTGGCAAATTCAGACAGTACAGCTCATTCTAGCTATAGATTTGTGAATATAGCAAAAGAGGTTGTCTGTACTGATGGATGGCTGCAGAGCAGCCTGACAGGAGTAGATGAACAAAAGAGAGAAAGGCAAGATATTAGGGAAATCAGTATTTAGACCTAAAACACTCATCTGATGTATGTAAATTTATTTATTTTTTACCCGTCAGGAAATAAATATATTTTTATTTTAATTCAACAGAATCACTTTCCGATTATGTCGAACCATATGGTTCAGTGCCTTACATTGCGAGACCTTACCCTTGGCAAGCTGGTCACACAGGTAAGAAATGTTTGGGAAACGTTTTTATAATCTAAGACTTGTTAAATAGTATTGTATTTTTCACAAACACTCGCTCTTTGTAAACTAGTATTTTATCATTGACATAATGAAATGATATAACTAATAGTAGTTATCTATTAAATGCACACTGAGGTTGCTGTGGCAATATATATATATATATATTTTTTTTTCCCCTCCAACTAGCATTTCTCATCAAGATGAGGAAATATAAAGTGGCATATCCAGACACTACTCCAGATGGCAGCTGCTAATTTGAGTTACTGTACTTTGCCAGAATAAAATTAAATGTTGTAAATGGCTGTTGAATTTTGTAGACTTGTGAATTTTTTTAAATTACTACTTTGATTTATAGTGAATGTACATTTTTATATTCAATGTACAATCTAAAGAAGGGATGCTAATGAAATAGTGAACTATGGTACAGCTACACAATACTGTTAGAAACAAACATTTTCTAATTGATCTGGCACTGAGTTTGGTATTCTGAGCTACGTCTAATAACTCTGGTCAAACATTTCACTCTTCATTTCCTGTAAACCAGTCCATGGATTTGTCTTGATTCATGCAGCTATTCGTTCTCCCTTTGGTGGATAGGCTGTTGCAATCTACCGGAAATTTAGAAAAAGAAAAGAGAGGAATTTGTTTACATAAGGTAAGAATACAGTAGACCAAATTCTGCCCTCTGCTACATGTGCAATTCCTGTTTGCATTGTTATGTACCAATCAATACTGATAGCCTTTTTTCGGAGCAAAATGTTTGCACAGCTCTACATTGAGTCAATAGAAATGCAATTAATGGAATTTTGGCCCTATTATATATACTTATTTACTACAAGGCACTGTTTACACAAAGAAAAAGACCAGTTATTGACAAGATTTTCCTTGCTATACCTCTGTCAATCAGGGCTGAAGATGGATTGTTTGGCTGATAGTGGTCAGATCATTTTCAACATCATTACAGAAAGCACGTCTACTATTTGTTAGAGGGAGAAGTGGAGGGATGGTACTGTGGACAAAGCATAGGACAGAAGAGTCAGGAGCTCTAGTTTTAATCCCATGCCTGAAACGGACTTCTTATATAGTTTTGGAAAAATCAGTGCCTGGGTTTCTCCCTATTTAAAATGGATATGCTAAAACTTCTCTACCCTATGGGGTATTGTGAGGTTGAAAGGAAAACCATCCACTGGGTCTGGACCACTTAAAATACATTAGAAATAGTTTCAAGTATTACCACCTTCCTCAGTTCTTCTGTCAGTTGTGGGTATATAAATAATTTCTTTTAAAACGTTTTTTTCATTTGAAGCTGTGTGGAAAACCCACACAAGCAGAGCAAAAGGACTACTTGTTCCAGGGACACAGTGAACCTGACTGTATACAAAGTGCTATCAAATGCATGAAGTAAATAAACTAAATTTTTTCCTAATCTCTTTCAGATATAGTAATCTTACCTCTTATCTGTAACAGTAGTAAGTTTAAAAAAATTGGGACAAGTGTGATTATAGTCTCAGATTGAAGGCTCTGTGTAAGTGCAAATTATTTTAATAGTGAGCTGAACCTGTGATATGTCCTACTGGACTCGTCTGCCTAATTCCTTTTCTGTTATAAATATCACACAATTGAAAAATTTTCCAGGTTTAAAAAGCCCCTTAGAATTGGAGCAATTTACGGACAATATCAAAACAGTAAGTATAAAACTCTTAGGAGTCCTAATGCCAACATTTCAATCCTATTTGCACTAATGGAAAAATGGATATTAAAAAGAATTTATTATGTCTCCAATTTTTATTTAGATAAATTAATTCCACTCCTTCAAAGATATATGCATGTATTTAATGTTTCACACTGTGAGTAGTGCCCAGTGGTTAAGCGCATGTGTAAATCTTGGTAGATTTGGGCCTTATACATTTTTATAAAATGAATCTACCAAAAGATAACCATCTAAAGCATGATCCAGTCTTAATACTTAATTTAAAAATGAACAAATACCTACTTTATGTTGGAGACTTCTCAGATACAATAAAAGCTATCCAATATTTTGGGGTGGGAGGTGGGTTAGAAAACACACCACAATTGATTTCACAAGTGATCAAGTTCAGAATATATATATGATAGAGGGCTGCGCTGTTTTGTTTTGTTTTTTAAACCCTGAACTTGTGTTGCTCACAACAGTAATCTTAAAACTCAGATAAGCATAATTTATTCTTATTGTTGCTTCTAACAAACAGGAAATGTTAGAAAGGAATTTTCAGAATTAATTTGAGAAATTAATAGTTGACAGCTTCTTGCTCATCGTAGTATATATTCATCAACAGTATGCTGAAGTCAGTGAGTAGTTATGAATAAAAGTTAACAGGATTTGTCAACTGCCAGAAGAGTTAGAATTGAGAACCGTTCAACATAGATCTAGTTAAGTAGACAAGGATAATTTCAATAAACCTAGAACATCTTTAGTTCATTCAACCACAGAGTGTTTAGATTAGTACTAACAAGAAAGGGTAATTTGCAACAAAAATCATAAAAATAGTGTTATTGTGATAGTAAATTTGTCTAACACGACTTCAGAATAATTTGGTGAAACAAAACATACTGCTCTTTATTGCAAGTATGTAAAGAACCATGGAAGGAACTCAATACTTTTGCAAAAGATGCCTTAAGATAAAACATTAGTTGTTCAAACAGACAGATGCGCTTTCTGATAGTAAAACGTCTGAGAGCTGTCTCCTAACAAGGGTTTACTCAAAATACACTCATTTATTTTACTAAGAATAGCACACAATCTGGATAGAGTTCTGGTTACAAATGGGATTGTTCACTGGCTGCACAACACTGCTAAATCCTTGGACGTCAAGAAAATTGATTTAATAAATGTTCATAACTAAAACATACTTGGCACTAATTAGCACTTTTGTTGGCAGTCTCTGCCTAGATGCCTATATAGCCCCCATTCCCATAAATTTGAGTCTTAATAGAGAGTCCAAGGATTTAATAGGCATGAAGACTACTCTGTGGTCTTACTACTAGAAAAGCTTCACCACACTGCTCTGCCAGCATTTTTCCAGGTTAGAGATAAGCAACCTTGGCAGGGCAGATAAAAGCTTTTATTGCTGCTATCTGTGCTATCCCAGTTCTGTAGATAAATAAAGCGATTGAGATTCTAGTCTCCTTTCACAAGCACTACATTCATACTTTCCAAAACTGACATGCAAGTGGAATATGAAGTGGTTTGTTTCTCACTTTATGTCAAGTTGTTGGTTAAGTGATAGATCTCTTACATACAGAAGAAGGGAAAAGCAGAGGAATTTAGTCCCACTTTGTACAGAACTCTGCAGCAGAGGTGTGTGCTTTATAAATGCTGATATATTAAATGTGCTATACCAGTGGTTCTCAAACTTTTGTACGGTGACCCCTTTCACATAGCAAGCCCCTGAGTGCAACCCCCCCCCCCTTATAAATTAAAAACACTTAAATATATTTAACACCATTATAAATGCTGGAGGCAAAGCAGGGTTTGGGGTGGCGGCTGACAGCTTGCGACCCCCCCCCCCCCATGTAATAACGTCAGGACCCCCTGAGGGGTCACAACCCCCAGTTTGAGGCCCCTTATACTATACAGATAAAGCAGATTCCAAGGTAATAATATATACCTAAACCAACTAAATGAAAGTGACTTACAAAACTAAACTCTACCTTGGGAATAACAGCAAGGAGAAGGATCAACTAGCATTTTTTCAACTGGGAAAATGCCCTTCAATTCCTGAGATCCATGTTGCTCCATCATCGCCAAAGTCCCAGTGGACGAAGATGATGAGGATGATAATCCCAGTCCTACAAATCTTCCTTTCTTACCACAAAGCGAACAATCTGCTGGTGTGGCGCTTGGTCCGCGGGGCAGCTGCACTTCATCTCTGCTGTAATTCCTGACAGCCCCACTGTGATGGATGGAACGGTCTCGCTGCCATATATAATGTGATGGAGCAATAGCCATTACCTAGATTAGAAAATCTTACTTATGTATGGAACCAGTGTCAGAAAAACCAACAAGCAAATACTATACAACTGAAACTGAGAAAAACCTATTTCTGTTTCTAAGTACATGTTTATCCTGGAAGATGGTACCTCTGTATGAAACTGAACATTACAGTGGAAAGAACAAGTTTGAAAATAGCTCCTCTGTGCAAAAAAATTTTTGGTGACCGAATAATCACTAATTTCTAATTGATGTAGGGATTCAGGGAAGAAAAGCCACATTCAGTTTCCATCATATCTGTGTCTGAGAAATACACATCATTGGTTTAGAGTGGTAGGGAAGTCAGAAGTGCACTTTGCTGGCTGAACCGCTCTGGATGACAATTAAAATTCCCTTAACTTTACAGTTTAACAGTCTTCTGCCGTTCCACTTATCCAGTGTGACTTGTATCATGCTTTCCAACAATTGATGATGCCATAGTTTCAATACGGAGCTTCCTAACAGAAAAAGTAGGTAGTTTGGGGAATTGTTTTGTTTCCTCAGTCTTAAATCTGGTATCAGTTCTCGCTGTGCTAGGGTGTAACTGTGCAGTTTCACAAAATTTAGTGGAAATAGATAAGCTCCCATCTTTTCCAGATCCAAACAAAATGTATTTCACTGCTTTCTACAGTTCAGTCCCCCATGTCATAACAGGGCCCTTCCTGGCAGTAGGAATACATCCAAACAGAATACTAAGAAACAGTATTTTTCAGGGTGACTTTTTTTTTTCTCTGTTAAACTCAGGTTTGGAAAACAGGATGAAATAATGCAAAAGCAATTAAGCAGTTGTTAAACAGCTTTAATTTTTAGAAATAAAAGGTAAAATCCTGGCCTCACTGAAGTCAAATGGAGTTTTGCTGTTGAGCTCACCTGGGCCCGGATTTCACCCAAAGTATTGGATTTTTATCGAATAATGAAAATTGACAATTTTCCAAGTAGTTTGAAAAATGAAATAATTCTAAACTGAATGAGGTGACTTCCATAATCAGTTTCTTCTTTGCTGCAAATTCCTTCATTCAGGACCAATAGTAAATAGGGTATTTATATAAAACACAAGCACTCTGGTCAGCAAAAACTCATGCAGCAACTTTGGTAGTGAATGCTCAATGGCACAACGTAAAACTTTCCTAGTGCAAGGTGGACTGCCTATGTGGGCAAATTTTTAAAAATTTGGATATGGAGTTTGAAACAGGAGTTTACCCTAACAGAGGCCTAGATCCACAAAGATAGCAAAAAGAAAAGGAGTACTTGTGGCACCTTAGAGACTAACCAATTTATTTGAGCATAAGTTTTCGTGAGC